ACATAGTATATAGTACATAGGACTACATATTAGGTAGTGCATAGTATATACATATGTTGTACTACATAGTATTATGAACTACATACATATGTTGTACTATGACTACATAGTACTACATATGTACATATTAGTACTATGCAGTACTAGTATGTACGTACTAGTACTATGTAGTACTAGTATGTACATACTATATACTATGTGTGTACATAGTACATACTACATAGTAGTACTACATACTAGTACTATGTAGTACATACTATGTATTAGTATGTACATATGTACTATGTAGTACTAGTACATAATATGTACTAGTATGTTCATAGTACATATGTACTAGTGTGTACATAGTACATATGTACTAGTATGTACATAGTACATATGTACTATGTAGTACATAGTAAATACTATGTAGTACTACATAGTACGTACATAGTACTACATGTAGTACTATATAGTATGTACATAGTATGTGCATACTATTTACATACATGTATGTATACATGTATGTACATGGACCTCCAATCGAGGTCCATGCAGTACAAATGCTAGTATGTGCTGGTACTGAGGGTGACCAGTTATGGGTCATGTAGTAGGTAACGAGGCTGAGCAGTTTAGGGTCATGCAGTATGTACCGAGGTTGAGCAGTTTAGGGTCATGCAGTATGGACCGAGGCTGAGCAGATTAGGATTATGGAGTATGGACTGAGACTGAGAAGTTTAGGGTCATGCAGTATGGACCAAGGCTAAGTAGTTTAGGGTCATGCAGTATGGACCAAGGCTGGGAAGTTTAGGGTCTTACAGTATGGACTGAGGCTGAGCAGTTTAGGGTCATGCAATATGGACCGAGCCTAAGCAGTTTCGGGTCATACAGTATGTACTGATCCTGAGCAGTTTAGCGAGGCTGAGCAGTTTAGAGTCATGCAGTATGGACCGAGGTAGAGCAGCATTGGTTCACTTAGTGTGGACATAGGATAAGCTGTTTAGGGTCATGCAATATGGATTGAGGTTGAGCATTTTAGGGTAGTATGGACCGAGGCTGAGCAGTTTAGGGTCATGCAGTATGGACCGCAGCTTTATGGTCATTTAGTGTGGACCGAGGCTGAGCTGTTTAGGGTCACGCAATATGGACCGAGGCTGATTTTTAAAGTGTTACTAATAGTGGTATTTGTACAATTTGTACTAGTACTATTAGTAATACTATTACTACTACCATTAGTAGTACTATAACTACTATTAGTAGTAGTAGTACTAGTATACTAATACTACTACTAATATTACAAGTACTACAACTATTAGTGGTACTAGTACTAAGTACTGATACTTCAGTAGTAGTATTAATAGTAGTACTACTAATAATACTAATACTAGTAGTAGTATTAGTAAGTACTAATATTAGTTGTAGTACTTCCACAGGCACACTCTAATTTCAAAATAAAAAATGGAAGATTGGCTATGGACATTGCGCACGGTTAGAGGTTCGACAGGAAAGGCGCTTCAATCCAATCAATTCTTGGGGTCTGAAAAAGATGCTGGATATGTCAGTGACCTAGCACGACAATGCACTCTCCGAGAGCATGGTACGTCTAATTTTTTGGTCAGAAATCTCGACTATAATGTCAATTCTCGATGGAAACGGAGTTTTGTGAATTATCCCCAGAATTGGAAGATCATTTTGAGATCTTCGATCATATTCGAGGGTTCAATTTGACTAATGCCCCTTCGGCCAACACACAAGATGAGACTTAACCATCGTGGAGCTGCTTTTTACAAAAAGATGAGGGGGATTATCAGTAAGAGGTTGGAGAAGCGAAAAATACGACATCACAAGCATAGATTTGCTCGCGGCTAAATACGAATTGAGACGAAAGCTTTATAAAACCTTTTGTAAAGATCCCAATCTTCCTAGTGATATGCAAGACAAACATCGTTATAAGTTGTCCAAGTTGCCAAAAAAAAGTTCATTTGCATGAATAAGAAATCGATGTATTTCCACAAGTCGCCTTGTTTCGTGGATTAGCATCTCGAGGTCCTTTGATGGGCATAAAGAAATCGTCTTGGTAGCCGCCCCACCAAACCAATAGAACAAAGGTGAGCTCTACTGCTGACAAGGTAAGTAGGTCTATTACCAGCTACCGCCCGGCTCCAGACTGAAGATAAGACCTAATGGAGTAATCCTTGATCTCGGATCGGAGATGCTAACGGGACGGGAATTGAAGTGAGCGACCTCTCTACACACCTGTCTCCCCAGACAGAGACTACATACGGGGTAGTACTCTTGGAAAGAGATAATATCACCATGTGAATATAACTAAAAGTTACGAATGCAACTCTTGAAAGCAAGTGAGGTGTGTAAGCATGGAGCTAGCCAAAGAGCTCGTGAAGTCTACTCAACTTGCCACACATCTTCTTGCTCGTTGGCTACACATCAAAGCAAGCACTTACTCCTCTAGGTAGCCAAGTCTTGTCAAAGCCCTCGTTGTTGAAGAGAAGAAAACTACACTAAGCAATGGGAGAGTGTGCTAGTGCGAAAGCTATTGCGTGGTAGCGCATCCGTTTTCTTACTGCGCGCTAGTACGAAAGCCGTTTGGGTGATTGCTCATACGTTTTCTTACTGGGTGCGCTAGCTACGAAGAAAACTATGTGCGTTTGCGTCCACGTAGGTGTGAAGACAAGCAAGAAAACAGATGTGCTAGCGGCGCATTAAAACCGTTGCTGCTTGCTTTCGAGCTGTAGTTTGTTGGGTGCTAGTGCACTCCAGCAAGAAAACGGATGTGCTAGCAGCGCGGCGCGTTAGCGCCCTTGTGTCTTGCTTTTGAGCCAGAGAAAAAATGGATGCGCTAGCAGTGCATTAGCGCCCTTGCTTCTTGGCTTTCGAGCCTACGCTTGCTGGCTTTTTGCATTTGCTTTGCTAGTGGTAGCAAGGTCTAACTATTGGCTGGGCGTTTGTTTTCATGTTAAGCAAAGAACTCTCAAACTTTTTTCTTTGCAACAGAAAAAAGCTCTCAACAACGACTGCTTTGATGTTGCTAAGTCTTGTCAAAGCTTAAGTTTGAGAGGGTGGCTATGCTAAGTCTTGTCAAAGCCCTCGTTCAAGAGTTTGCTCTTGCAAAGAAAAAGTAGAAGAGGGCTTTGACAAGACTTGGATACCACTGGCAAAGCTCGTTTCCTACACTGCCTTCACTGAGATCGACCACTATTCTCAATTTAGTAAGGCGGAGAACTGCTGTTCATTGGAGTGCCGGAGTGCAAAGGTTGTTCCCACCATTGATGTCAGAGTGTGGGACTGAGCCTTCCAAAAGATAAAGACCCAAAACTTCTTCGTTTCGTTGATAGAACCAACACAAATATCATATAAGTAGTACTATTATTAGTACTAACAGTAATAGTAATACCACTAATAGTAGTACTATTACTATACTATTTAGTACTATAATAATAATACTACTATTACTATTGTACTACTATTAGTGCTAGTACTAATAGTACTATTACTAGTATTACTACTAATAATACTTAGTACTAGTAATAGTAGTAATAGTAGTATTGTAGTATTAGTTGTAATAATACTACTAATATTATTAGTACTAAGAGTACAACTATTAGTAGTAGTATTAATACTATTAAGTACTAGTAGTACTAATACTAGTACTAATTCTACTAGTAAAAGTACTATTACTAATATTACTATAATAATACTAATATTATTATAGTAAGTAGTACTACTACTAGCATTAATATTATTAATAGTATTATTAGTAGTATTAATACTGCTACTATTAGTCGTAATACCTAGTATTATTACTATTATTACTTATAGTATGAGTATTACTAGTATATTATTAATACTAGTACTATTACTACTATTAGTACTACTAATACTAGTAGTAGTATTAAGTAGTAATATTAATAGCATTAGTACTAGTAATAGTACTACTACTAGTAGTATTACTAGTACTATTACTACTTATTGTGGCAGCCTCTGCTCACTTATGCACCCTAGTGTTTACCCCACGTTCCCTCAAACACATGGGCAAGAAGTGCCACCAAATTGCTCTCTGTATGAAGTTTTGTGCGAATGCGCACGACGCTCTCAACTCGACGGGTGCGATTCACGCGAAAATCGTGTCGTTTCTTTGCCCGTAATTTTTGCAGCTTGAGCACCATTGTGAACCCTACTTATTGCCCCACGTTCCCCCAAATAAGTGCACAATATGTGCCTCCAAAGTTTCCTTCGTACGAAGTTTAGTGCACCTGCGCACCGCGCGCAATCAAATCAACCCGTGCGATTCGGGCGAAAACCATGCAGTTTTTTTACGCACAATTTTGGTGGTTTGTGTACAATTGTCCGACATTTCCCCAAACAAGTGCGTGAGAAGTACCACCAAATTTCCCTCTATACGAATTTTGTGGCACATGCGCATTGGTCGCGCTCAACTCAACACGTGTGATTCATGAGAAAACAGTGGCATTTTTTTGCATGCAATTGTGGCAATTTGTGCACCCTACTATTTGCCCCTTGTTCCCTTAGGCACGTGCACAAGAATTGCCACCAAATTGCCCTGTGTATGAAGTTTACTGCACACGCGTCGCATGCCCTCAACTCAACAAGTGCGGTTCGTGCAAAAACCGTGCCATTTGTGTGCTAGCAATTGTGGCGGCTTGTGAAAAATTGTGCCCCTAATATTTGCCCCACGTTGCACCAAACACGTGAGCAAGAAGTGCCACCAATTTGCCTTCCGTACGATGTTTAGTGCACATGCGCACCACGAATGCTCAACTCAACACGTGCAATTCACGCGAAAACTGTGCCATTTTTTTA